TATATATATATATATATATATATAAAGGGACAGTTTTCAAGAGATATGTTCATAGATTAATGTCTGACTAACTCTGGAACTTAAGCAGCTCGATGTGACATCAAATTTCTTGGGGATACTCGACTATAACTCACTGTAGATTCTTTGATATTTGTATAGGCATCATGTTTCATAATAATTGTTTTTTCCATCACGCCTCATAAATGCCTGATTGGTATCAGGTCGGGTGAAAATAGTTGTAACATTATAAGTCCGAATTTCTAGAATGCACCCGGAACTAATATCTGAGCCCTTCGCACAACTGACACCGCGTTTTATCTTGACTTGATAACCAATTCTTATTGGGGGTACATTGAGTTAAATGATCATTCCGGATGAAGATCATCCAACACTTAATCGTTTTGCTTAATCCACCATAATTTGCATTTTACTTTGTTGTCAATATTCACATTCGTTGAGCTGTCAAAATCTCATTCAAAATTAGCGCACGGAATAGTCAACAATGATATAATCGCTCATGTGAATGTTGAGCATGAAAATGACTATTTGTTGTGTACTGGTAACTAATTACTGGAAATAACCAAATTAGTACAAAGAATATTTAACGTTTGATTTAGTCATTTAGATTATGATGCTTCTCTTCAGCGTCGTAGATGACTCTCGAACGATTTCTTTGTTTAACCCTTTTACTGACTGTTGAGTACCGCTCCACACAAAACTTTGCAGACCTCATTTTAAATGCACCGTTAGTGACTGTGTCTTCTCCTTATTACTTGTTTTTCTTCTCCATCTTAGCCGGGGAAGGTCCTTTTGTTGAATGTAGGTCTCCCTCAGATTCAGGCAGAAGTATGGCCCAATACGTGTTGGTAGGAGCAGATGAGAACCGCTTAGGTGATCATGTCACTTTTCGATTCAAGATCGGCCAAAGGTATTTATGTAATTGCATGTAACAAACTCAAATTGAATACGATCTCCGCTCTCGTCGATTTCTGATTCCGAGCCGTTCGACATTATGCCACCTGCACATTAATTCTTACTGCACTTAGAATTCTGAAGTGGTCACCCAGACTTAATTTTTCAAATAAGCGTCGCGGTTCAAACAACTGCTCCGCAAGTAAATTTAAATTTTTGAGCTAAATAAACGTACCACGGAGAAAATAATTTAAATAATAACAAGCTTGTTAACTTCGGTGATCAGTCTTAAATGTTTTTTTAACATGATATAACCGTAAACTCCCTAAAATTTATGGCAAAAATATAGTTCTTTGCTGGAAGAATAAAAAAACAAACTGGAAAACGTAATTATGAATCGTTTGACATATATTCGAAGAGATTAGAGAAAAACCTCAGTGTGCTGCAGAATAAAAGCCGAACAAGACAAGTTATTTTCTTTAATAAATTGAACGGTAGTGGATTTGGGAATATTGTAATATCAATTCCTGCGCCGGGTAGTGTGTACTTGAATCAGTGGAAATGAGGCGAGCAAAAGGATAAGGTTACACCGAGATACCCCTGGATAAAACGGCTGAACGAGAACTATCTCCCTCCGTAGAGGTTAAAGGGTCCAGTTTGAAATTCTCTATAGAAATAGACGAAGGCTGAAAGGTTGTGATAGCAACAACAAATATGTTGATCGTCGTCTGCGAATGAATAGTTTAAAGACTGCTTTTTTAGTCAAAGAAGTAAACATTTCATTTCTGATATCTATATTACCAGAAATAATTCTGACTAGAAAAATCTCTAGAAGGAATTAAGATAATCACTCAATAAAAGGCTGTATATATTACATAATTTACGCTGAAGATTTGGAATCATACAAATTCATAGCATCTTTACTCTGATGTCAAATTGGGTTTTTGTTCGTTTATTAAAAAATACACGTAAGACAACAAATCCGCTAAGACGCAATGGTTAAAAATATGAGAAAATGAACGATTTTATTAGAGAGAAAACGATATATAAACATAAATAAACAAAAAAAAGTTACATTTTCAAAATAAGTTTCAGGAGAGAGTTCAACATGCGAGTTGTGTAAGAGTACGAACTCTTAAAATAGAACTTATGATTACATCTAAGCATTTAACTGGAAAATGATGGGACCTAGCTGCCAATAAGGTGCAGCGCTTAAATTACTTATATTTTTATATATTTATATTACTTGACACGGTCATCCAAGAAAATCGTGTATGACAACACAAATATATACATTTTTATGCCTTTCTAATACTGTAATAGACTCAGCTATTAAGAGCCATGAATATTTTTTAGACGGATATAACGACACAACGACGTTAGAACCTAGTAACCGCCATGCTTGCTCGCATAAGTATCGTTAGTCAGAAAGTTAATGATACATAATACTATGTATCAGTCTAATTAATATTTTCATTAATGTTTAATTTGCCCGTCCATTGCTAAATGTTTATTCCGTTTACAGAATAGCGGCTTGGATCGAAGAATCGGAGAGCCGGGTTCGAAATCCAGTCAAATCCGTTACATTCAACTACGTGCTAATACCCTTGGGAAAGGTATGAAGCGTTTTCATCTCCCCCAGCTATGAGAAAATAGCAGGACAGACTGGGTTCTATAGCTTTGTATGGCAACTGGTTAAAGGCAGAAAGAAATGTCAACCAACTGCGGGAAAATATCTGCTTCGTCAGTCAGTGTATCGAAAGATATATGATCTCAGAAGCGTGTTTCACGAGTGGCACATGACTGACTGACATTTGAAAATGTTATTTTCGCATATTATTTTTAAATACACATATCAATTTACAATATATATATATATATATATATATATATATATATATATATATATATATATATATATATATATATATATATATATATATATATATATATATATATATGTCCCACAGAGTTCGTGTGCATTTTTAAAAATTTGTATTTGCGAGAGAGATAATTTGTAAAAGGATTAGAAAGAAGTAAATCTATATATTTCAAGGTTTTATTGAAATTTTATTTATTTTTTCACATGTCCTCCATAATTAGCAATACAAAGGGTTATACGATTTTGCAGTTCACAGAAAACATGTGCTAACTGATTTACAGTAATGCCTGAAATCACATTAGTTATTTTAGCTATACTTAAAACTAGGTACATTAAACTTTATAATTTTTTATAGATCATTTCTATCTCAAATACAAATAAAGTTATAAATTGTTAAAGTGCACACGAAATTTATGGACACACACACTCTCTCTCTCTCTCTCTCTCTCTCTCTATATATATATATATATATATATATATATATATATATATATATATATATATATATATATATATATATATATAAGTGCGCAGGTATGCAGAAAATAGAAAAGAATACGTTGGGTGCATAATCCTTAGTATTTTTTTTTTTTTTTTTAAGACAGTGCTCCATACAGGAGTAGAGCTTATATTATTATATTGTTTTGTTTAAAAAATATGATGAATCATATTTTAAACAAAAATTTATATATATATATATATATATATATATATAGGGTGTCTATATATATATATATATATATATATATATATATATATATATATTACTGCTAGAATTGGGAAAAATTCAGCTTTTGTAAATTAAGCCTGTTTAGGTTTCATAAATATTTATCCACATCGGAGACCAGTCCCTAAACAAAAATGTTCTCCTCAACTGATAGAGACAGAATTTGAAATGCGTACTTACGTCTCCATCAACGTCTGAAGAGTTCTTTCCAATGACACGTTCACTTTTACATGACGTACTCTAGGGTCCCAAGTAAAAATGTCGTTACATTTCTATTATTTCCTTCTACAGGGTGCGGCAGAAATGCCTCCCACATATCCCTCCTCGAAATAATTCATATATAATGGTAAGTTATTAGTGACAACGGTGACTTCGTCTAACTAATGTCTTACCATTATCCGTTGGTATTTCTTGGATGTATTGTCCGGTCGGCCGGAAATTTCCATCTCAAGAGTCAAGAGTCGGATGACCAAAATCAGTTATTTACGCATAAGCTCCGAGTGGTACTTCCGGTAGCGTTGAAAACATTCAAAATTATTAATCAAACACTGACAGCGTTTCCCTCGCATTTTCGAGGGACTTTTTTTGTGAGCCAGCACCTGCTTAAGTAAAGCTATAAATAAAAAACATAAAGCAAACAAGGTCATTTGGCGAATGGATTATGAGTTGTCAACTCAACCGGTTTACAAATTCACTAAAACATTTCACGCTTCTCTGATGGAGATTCAACAATTAATCCAACGTTTGAAGTTTCAACCTTGCATGGGGCATTATTTAAACACAACTAAGTGTGTGCACATAGCATTCTCTATTAAAAGGGTTTTATTAAACATATGTTAATGTATGTGTTGTCGTGAAACTTTTCCATTTTCATGATTTTAATTGACACCCCTCAACTGGTGTCTTGGAACCCTTCCATTTTCAAGGGTTTATTTAAACGCACTTAAATGTGTGTAGGTAACTTTACTCTTTCAAAGAGTTTTTATTAAACAGATCTAAATGTGTGAATCTTTTCCCTTTTAAATATGTATATGTGAATTTAGCCTTATTTTCAAGGGTATTATTGTATTCATTCACGATGTATAAAATACCCAAATAATTTGTTGTTAATCAACAAATTTTTATATTTTTGATCATTTTAAATTCACTTGTTTAAATGACTTACATAATTATTGTGTTGTACGTTTAGACGGTACATGGAATAATTAATAATAACTGCCACTATCTTATACGAGTTAGCCACATGAACTAAACGCTTTCTGCACTCCGTAAGTCAAAGAGTTTCATAAACTGATCCTGATGAAGTACATTACCCTCAATCTTACATGCATACATGCATACTGTCTAGCTGACATATATATATATATATATATATATAGATAGATAGATAGATAGATAGATAGAATTAATACAAATATATTAAAATAATAATATATAGTGTGTAACTCAGCTGACTGAGCTTATATTCAGCAACTCTACTCCGGAGTTCCGTAGACGATAAAAAATATAGATAGATAGATAGATAGATAGATAGATAGATAGATAGATAGATAGATAGATAGATAGATAGATAGATAGATAGATAGATAGATAGATAGATAGATAGAATTAATACAAATATATTAAAATAATAATATATAGTGTGTAACTAAGCTGACTGAGCTTATATTGAGCAACTCTACTCCGGAGTTTCGTAGACGATAACAAACATAGATTTTAACATAGATAGATAGATAGATAGATAGATAGATAGATAGATAGATAGATAGATAGATAGATAGATAGATAGAAAGAATTAATACAAATATATAAAAATAATAATATATAGTGTAACTCAGCTGACTGAGCTTATATTCAACAACTCTACTCCGGAGTTCCGTAGACGATAAAAAATATAGATAGATAGATAGATAGATAGATAGATAGATAGATAGATAGATAGATAGATGAATAGATAGATAGATAGATAGATAGAAAGAATTAATACAAATATATTAAAATAATAATATATAGTGTGTAACTAAGCTGACTGAACTTATATTGAGCAACTCTCCGGAGTTTCGTAGACGATAACAAACATAGATTTTAACATAGATAGATAGATAGATAGATAGATAGATAGATAGATAGATAGAAAGAATTAATACAAATATATTAAAATAATAATATATAGTGTGTAACTCAGCTGACTGAGCTTATATTCAGCAACTCTACTCCGGAGTTCCGTAGACGATAAAAAATATAGATAGATAGATAGATAGATAGATAGATAGATAGATAGATAGATAGATAGATAGATAGATAGATAGATAGATAGATAGAAAGAATTAATACAAATATATTAAAATAATAATATATAGTGTGTAACTAAGCTGACTGAACTTATATTGAGCAACTCTACTCCGGAGTTTCGTAGACGATAACAAACATAGATTTTAACATAGATAGATAGATAGATAGATAGATAGATAGATAGATAGATAGATAGAAAGAATTAATACAAATATATTAAAATAATAATATATAGTGTAACTCAGCTGACTGAGCTTATATTCAGCAACTCTACTCCGGAGTTCCGTAGACGATAAAAAATATAGATAGATAGATAGATAGATAGATAGATAGAGATAGATAGATAGATAGATAGATAGATAGATAGAAAGAATTAATACAAATATATTAAAATAATAATATATAGTGTGTAACTAAGCTGACTGAACTTATATTGAGCAACTCTACTCCGGAGTTTCGTAGACGATAACAAACATAGATTTTAACATAGATAAATAGATAGATAGATAGATAGATAGATAGATAGATAGATAGATAGATAGATAGATGAAGAAGAAAGAATTAATACAAATATATTAAAATAATAATATATAATGTGTAAACTAAGCTGACTGAGCTTATATTCAGCAACTCTACTCCGGAGTTCCGTAGACGATAAAAAAATATAGATAGATAGATAGATAGATAGATAGATAGATAGATAGATAGATAGATAGATAGAGATAGATAGATAGATAGATAGAAAGAATTAATACAAATATATTAAAATAATAATATATAGTGTGTAACTAAGCTGACTGAGCTTATATTGAGCAACTCTACTCGGAGTTTCGTAGACGATAACAAACATAGATTTTAACATAGATAGATAGATAGATAGATAGATAGATAGATAGATAGATAGATAGATAGAAAGAATTAATACAAATATATTAAAATAATAATATATAGTGTAACTAAGCTGACTGAGCTTATATTCAGCAAATCTACTCCGGAGTTCCGTAGACGATAAAAATATAGATAGATAGATAGATAGATAGATAGATAGATAGATAGATAGATAGATAGATAGATAGATAGATAGAAAGAATTAATACAAATATATTAAAAAATAATATATAGTGTGTAACTAAGCTGACTGAGCTTATATTGAGCAACTCTACTCCGGAGTTTCGTAGACGATAACAAACATAGATTTTAACATAGATAGATAGATAGATAGATAGATAGATAGATAGATAGATAGATAGATAGAAATAGATAATAGATAGATTGAGAAACATTAGATAGATAGATAGATAGATAGATAGATAGATAGATAGATAGATAGATAGATAGATAGATAGATAGAAAAGAATTAATACAAATATATTAAAATAATAATATATAGTGTGTAACTAAGCTGACTGAACTTATATTGAGCAACTCTACTCCGGAGTTTCGTAGACGATAACAAACATAGATTTTAACATAGATAGATAGATAGATAGATAGATAGATAGATAGATAGATAGATAGATAGATAGATAGATAGAAAGAATTAATACAAATATATTAAAATAATAATATATAGTGTGTAACTCAGCTGACTGAGCTTATATTCAGCAACTCTACTCCGGAGTTCCGTAGACGATAAAAAATATAGATAGATAGATAGATAGATAGATAGATAGATAGATAGATAGATAGATAGATAGATAGATAGATAGATAGAAAGAATTAATACAAATATATTAAAATAATAATATATAGTGTGTAACTAAGCTGACTGAACTTATATTGAGCAACTCTACTCCGGAGTTTCGTAGACGATAAAAAATATAGATAGATAGATAGATAGATAGATAGATAGATAGATAGAAAGAATTAATACAAATATATTAAAATAATAATATATAGTGTGTAACTAAGCTGACTGAACTTATATTGAGCAACTCTACTCCGGAGTTTCGTAGACGATAACAAACATAGATTTTAACATAGATAGATAGATAGATAGATAGATAGATAGATAGATAGATAGATAGATAGAAAGAATTAATACAAATATATTAAAATAATAATATATAGTGTGTAACTCAGCTGACTGAGCTTATATTCAGCAACTCTACTCCGGAGTTCCGTAGACGATAAAAAATATAGATAGATAGATAGATAGATAGATAGATAGATAGATAGATAGATAGATAGATAGATAGAAAGAATTAATACAAATATATTAAAATAATAATATATAGTGTGTAACTAAGCTGACTGAACTTATATTGAGCAACTCTACTCCGGAGTTTCGTAGACGATAACAAACATAGATTTTAACATAGATAAATAGATAGATAGATAGATAGATAGATAGATAGATAGATAGATAGATAGAAAGAATTAATACAAATATATTAAAATAATAATATATAGTGTAACTAAGCTGACTGAGCTTATATTCAGCAACTCTACTCCGGAGTTCCGTAGACGATAAAAAAAAGATAGATAGATAGATAGATAGATAGATAGATAGATAGATAGATAGATAGATAGATAGATAGATAGATAGAAAGAATTAATACAAATATATTAAAATAATAATATATAGTGTGTAACTAAGCTGACTGAGCTTATATTGAGCAACTCTACTCCGGAGTTTCGTAGACGATAACAAACATAGATTTTAACATAGATAGATAGATAGATAGATAGATAGATAGATAGATAGATAGATAGATAGATAGATAGATAGAAAGAATTAATACAAATATATTAAAATAATAATATATAGTGTGTAACTAAGCTGACTGAGCTTATATTCAGCAACTCTACTCCGGAGTTCCGTAGACGATAAAAAATATAGATAGATAGATAGATAGATAGATAGATAGATAGATAGATAGATAGATAGATAGATAGATAGATAGAAAGAATTAATACAAATATATTAAAATAATAATATATAGTGTGTAACTAAGCTGACTGAGCTTATATTGAGCAACTCTACTCCGGAGTTTCGTAGACGATAACAAACATAGATTTTAACATAGATAGATAGATAGATAGATAGATAGATAGATAGATAGATAGATAGATAGAAAGAAAGAAACATTGAGATAGATAGATAGATAGATAGATAGATAGATAGATAGATAGATAGATAGATAGATAGATAGATAGAAAGAATTAATACAAATATATTAAAATAATAATATATAATTGTGTAACTAAGCTGACTGAACTTATATTGAGCAACTCTACTCCGGAGTTTCGTAGACGATAACAAACATAGATTTTAACATAGATAGATAGATAGATAGATAGATAGATAGATAGATAGATAGAAAGAATTAATACAAATATATTAAAAAATAATAATATATAGTGTAACTCAGCTGACTGAGCTTATATTCAGCAACTCTACTCCGGAGTTCCGTAGACGATAAAAAATATAGATAGATAGATAGATAGATAGATAGATAGATAGATAGATAGATAGATAGATAGATAGATAGATAGATAGATAGAAAGAATTAATACAAATATATTAAAATAATAATATATAGTGTGTAACTAAGCTGACTGAACTTATATTGAGCAACTCTACTCCGGAGTTTCGTAGACGATAACAAACATAGATTTTAACATAGATAAATAGATAGATAGATAGATAGATAGATAGATAGATAGATAGATAGATAGATAGATAGATAGAAAGAATTAATACAAATATATTAAAATAATAATATATAGTGTGTAACTAAGCTGACTGAGCTTATATTCAGCAACTCTACTCCGGAGTTCCGTAGACGATAAAAAATATAGATAGATAGATAGATAGATAGATAGATAGATAGATAGATAGATAGATAGATAGATAGAAAGAATTAATACAAATATATTAAAATAATAATATATAGTGTGTAACTAAGCTGACTGAGCTTATATTGAGCAACTCTACTCCGGAGTTTCGTGACGATAACAAACATAGATTTTAACATAGATAGATAGATAGATAGATAGATAGATAGATAGATAGATAGATAGATAGATAGAAAGAAAGAAACATTGAGATAGATAGATAGATAGATAGATAGATAGATAGATAGATAGATAGATAGATAGATAGATAGATAGAAAGAATTAATACAAATATATTAAAATAATAATATATAGTGTGTAACTAAGCTGACTGAACTTATATTGAGCAACTCTACTCCGGAGTTTCGTAGACGATAACAAACATAGATTTTAACATAGATAGATAGATAGATAGATAGATAGATAGATAGATAGATAGATAGAAAGAATTAATACAAATATATTAAAATAATAATATATAGTGTGTAACTCAGCTGACTGAGCTTATATTCAGCAACTCTACTCCGGAGTTCCGTAGACGATAAAAAATATAGATAGATAGATAGATAGATAGATAGATAGATGATAGATAGATAGATAGATAGATAGATAGATAGATAGATAGATAAAAGAATTAATACAAATATATTAAAATAATAATATATAGTGTGTAACTAAGCTGACTGAACTTATATTGAGCAACTCTACTCCGGAGTTTCGTAGGCGATAACAAACATAGATTTTAACATAGATAAATAGATAGATAGATAGATAGATAGATAGATAGATAGATAGATAGAAAGAATTAATACAAATATATTAAAATAATAATATATAGTGTGTAACTAAGCTGACTGAGCTTATATTCAGCAACTCTACTCGGAGTTCCGTAGACGATAAAAATATAGATAGATAGATAGATAGATAGATAGATAGATAGATAGATAGATAGATAGATAGATAGATAGATAGAAAGAATTAATACAAATATATTAAAATAATAATATATAGTGTGTAACTAAGCTGACTGAGCTTATATTGAGCAACTCTACTCCGGAGTTTCGTAGACGATAACAAACATAGATTTTAACATAGATAGATAGATAGATAGATAGATAGATAGATAAATAGATAGATAGATAGATAGATAGATAGATAGATAAATAGATAGATAGATAGATAGATAGATAGATAGATAGATAGATAGATAGATAGATAATATTCGCTATGTGCGTTCATTGCTCAACATTTTATTAATTGCTTGTACGAGGATGTTATGATATTGAAACAAATATCATTATGTAAATCATTATTGATTTATAATGTTACTAAATTGATGCTTCTGTGCGCATACACAAATACACACACATACACACAAGTAGGCTCACATATATATATATATATATATATATATATATATATATATATATATATATGTAAAGTATATATGTATTGGTATAATTGCATTCAATACGGGCCTATGTCTATATATGTAAGCAGATGTGTTTATACTTATGTAACTTGAAGCAATTATTTGGAAAATTTTGTTGATATCGATCTATCCATCCTAAAGCAAAATTAATGGCGTGCTTCAACGGATAATTAAACGAACAGAGAAAACTTCTAAAATACCTTTAACTGAAACAGAATTGTTTAACCACACCTAAAAATATAAGGATAAAAATATGTTCAGATAACTATAGTTCAGCCGTGACAAAAAGAAAAAAAAATAAAAAAAACAGGAAAATCATATAAAAATAAACCCTAATTTAGGAAGGAAAACGAAAAATAATATCGCCTGCCTGATATAATTGCTGTGATTTTCAAGGTCGTTAACCGAAAAGAACAAGGCAGTTAACGAATATAAGAATATTTATTGAATGCTTTGCCTACACCAACACTTGATCGTTTCAGTTGTATTCTTGTATATGATTGATTCCTGATTTTGGATTGAATTAATCTCAGTTTTCGCAATTTCTTTAAACTGTTCGGCATTTGTATACATCTTCAGTATACATATATATATATATATACTATAAAACGTAAAGGAAAAAAAAAAAGCTGAACATAGAATATTATATATATATATATATATATATATATATATATATATATATATATATATATTTATATGTACGTATGTATAGATAATATAAAATATGTTATCAACTATCGCCCGATGAGGAACGAATAAGTTTCCAAAACATGAACGTTTTATGTAGCGATGTAAAATGTTTTTATTGTAATCTATTATAAGAAAAATAATTCAATAATTTTATGATTCGCTCTACGTTTGTATTGAGCACTTTTAAAAAAGTTAAAAAAGAGGTTATGCAAATATAAAAGAGAACATTGAAGTCAACACTCAGAGCCGGCAGGCTGTTTCATACTAGATGCAATCGTCTGCACAGACCTTTTAACATTGTGAAGTCATATGTGGGGCGTATCTGTACGTCTCTATGCGTTTCTTGATTGATAGGTCGAAAATAACGGGAGAGTCCACTATATATATATATATATATATATATATATATATATATACACAATAAAAAAAAGATAAAGGAAAAAGAAAACGAACATAAAATATTTTGTGTGAAAGACGGTTTCGCCTAATACCGCAAATTGCCGCTTAGCAGTTAGCTCTTTGATTCATTTGGAGTAAAATTTCGCAGGCTTTCATGTGAAAGCCTTTTACCGAACATTTTAATCTGGTCTTCATTGGAGACAGTTATCCCCTTCGAAGCGTTTTGTAGCGCTTGAAATAAAAGTAACAATGGGTTCATGAACACTCAGGTTACTGCGGAAATGCGGACGAACAGAAAGCGAAATGCTTAAAATCGTTCATATTTTCGTTATACGTTTCCATCCTTTGTCACGGAGGAGAGAAATATTTTCCCAATTGACGATCCCAGGGTGCTTTCCGACGAAAATTTCATGGGAGCATTGCAGCTGAACATATGAATATGGATTTAGTTTTTCAATGCGTTTAAAGAATTCTTAATAAATAATACACCAGAATCACGTCACAAGCAGAAATTTAGCTTTCTTTCATAAATCGCATTTTGGGGGTCAATTGTGGATATCTATAGTTACCAATCCACTGCCTTTTGCGTTGAACATTGCAATAGGCAACCTAATTTTAATATCCTTTTATGGTATATTTAGAAAACGGTTAGGATGATTAATGAAATAATCAAGATGTTGATATTCCACACTATTTCAAACAAAAGGTTAACATCGAAGCCACCATCATGAATAAAAAGAGAGATAACTGCTACTGGGCTAGTGGAATCTAATTTCCTGAAAAATTATTGGAAGAGAAATATTTTATAAATCTCAACCGACAATGACAGTGACAGTTCAGTCAAAGAATGTCGTTTGTTTTCTTATAATGAAACGGCGAACGCTAATATAATCTGTATCATTCATCATTACAGTTGGTACAAAAACGGAAATTATGATTCAAACTAATAAATTGTCAGAAATTAACATAAAAATTATTCATAGAATGTAGTCATTCCAGATTCAATAGATGCTTTGAAAATTACGAAATAAATTTTCCTTGGTAAACAATTGATGCAAGCATTACTAACAGATGAAATGTCTTTAATGAATAGCTGTAAATGTTTTCTCTTTTAAAATGTCCAACAATTCTTGTCAGCAATCTTTTCCTTTTCTGGCCTCTGAATACATCTCTTTATCTTTGCTATCCAACCCATTGTTTCTAGCATTCAAAACATTTTATTCCCATTTCTGAGATTTTCCTCTTGTTTGCATCATTATTGTTCTTTCCAGGTATAAAGCCTGTGAAATATGTTTACACTGGAACGGGACTTCTGGCAAATCCACTTGCAATAAATTGCTTTTAAAGAAATTAAGTTATCACTTAAATAAATTATAAATAATTAAATAAAGTTATCAACAAATGATTTGGCATTTGGCTCCATCCCAATAACAATGAAACATTCGCCTCATGGAGGAAATTAATTGTTTTCATAATGAAATATTTCCATCAACTACGATCACACTTTTGGCAAATAAAAAGAAAGATCTCATATACAATCTGTGAGAATAAATATGCACCTGATACTAAATTGCAACTTTCTACAGAATATTGTGCCTATTTCAGAGTTTCGGTTATAGGTAAGGCGAAGATATTATTCAAACTTAAAATCTGGCTGCATACACGGGCCGATATTAGAAAGGTAAAATACAGGAGTATTTAATTGGACAAAAGTAAATACAATTAAAAGTCAGATGCAAAACGCTTATATAAGATTAATTAAGATAACTTCATAGGTATTGATTCTCCACATGCCTCATCCTATATAACGAAGCATTTAGGTATGTGTGCCAAACAATTTTTGCTATCAGATTTCAAGTTGAATCACCTCATAAAGCATATCAAACTGTTCAATTTGATTCAGGAATTGGATTGCCAGAAAGTAATAATCATCGATTAATACACTACTAGATAGACTTAAAAATGGTGAAGCGTGTCGTGACTACGGAAGGAAGATGCACCTCTTTTTTTATTGGAGATCATCAGTAGTGTTAAATTAATATTTTCTACTTAGATAAATTCCCTAAAGACATGGTTCAGAAGGCGACAGTAGCGTTCAAAGGAATATTCGGTGTCATACGAAGAAGCGCCCATTCCCATGATATTAGTATAACTACTAAACGCATATCTAAATAAAAGATGTAAAGAGACATGCTTTTAGTATGCTGCCATATACCCCGGGTGAAAAACTTTTAATATATTTAAGAGGTGCGTCTTTAAAATCAACAATCAATTCGTTTCCAAGAATCAACGTTGTAAAGATATATTAACTTTTTGTAAATATATGTCTCCTAATGTACTTCTCAGATTAATTTCTGTTGAGAAATGCTTACTTCAAATAATTTGAGAGGTTGGGAATTACATTAGTAAATATTATATTTATGTTGATGCACCCATCCTGACTTACGCAGTTCTTTGAAAAAGTTGATATTATCGGAATCATTAATATACATTTTGTTATCATTGAATAGAATACAAAACTTCTCAAGATAAATGCATGAAAGCGAGAGAGTTGTATTTTTTTTAAGCGTTTCACCCCAAGCAAGGCGGGAAGACACTAGGACGCAAGGGGTTACAGAAGATTTGGAACAAGATCAGATAGGAGTGATAGAGGAAAGGACCAGGAGAAGGATAGTGGATAGATCAAGGCAACTGGAGATGTCGTTTGACATTACATTTGAATAGTTGGAGATTATAGTTCTCGGGGAAACTGGAATAGGAAAGGGAGTTCCACAGACGAGAGGTGCGTGATAGGAAGCTACTGGAGTAGAAGAGACGGCTACATTTAATAGTTTCAACAGTGAAAGGGTGAGATGGTGGGGATGCCAGCCTCGTATGGCGATTGAATTGATGAAGTCTGGGAACCAGCGAATTTAGCTCCTCGGTGCATTAATATATTTTAATGATTGAAGCGAAAGGTCAAGTCTATTTTAGGATCTTAACTTATATTTGACCAAAATATAGAGACTACAACCTTTTTTGAAAAATCCAATTTGTGTTTAATATGTAGTTGATCATAACTTTCTACTTATTCCGTTTTTATGCTTGGTGAGCTGACATGATTTCCTGAGAAAATTACAGCAGGATTTCCTGTTGCCTTTTGCACAGCTTTCAAATAAGAACAGTCATTCTCTTCGATAGTTTCAAATCTCAGTATAGACTGTTCTGGCTATCCTTTTCTAGATAAATCATAACATGTGGGAAGAGATTGATCTATTCATCTCCTAAAAAAACTAAAAGGAAAGAGAATATAACGGACTAGGCTGCCATTTTGGCTACGTTCGCGATTACAGTTTCGGCAGATAAAAATTAGAAACTAACGTTTAGAGAGATGTGCATAGCTCTAAAGATTCCTTTAAGATTTTAAAAACTTTTTTCTTATTTAAATAGACATTTGGAGTGCGAGATAGATTAATACGACGTGAAATCCAAATGTGCAGTGATGTTGCAACTTATCTACAGGATATTTCACAATATTTTAAACAAAATGATCGGTCACAAAGCAGCAAGTATCCCAAATGATAGATTAACGAAAATTACATTTATTGAAAGCAAAAGGAAAACATGTTAGGATCTGCAAACATTTTGTCTCAAAAATGAATAAAAATGTCAAGAGGACCCCTAGCTCCTGATGACCGCCGCTCAGTTGAAGGCAGTGTTGA